AAATTCTTCCTTGCTACCCTTAACCCTAATTCACATTTCTTTGGCTCCTCTGTGCCTGATTGCAGCAGCAGGTATTCCTGCTCTCAGGAACTCCTGCTGGCCCCTGGAAAGGCAGTGCTTTGTCCCCTCCAATGCTGCATTGCTCCCTACTCAGTGTCACCCTGGAGCTGTCTTGGCAGAAGCCTGAGGGTTTGCTTTGGAAAGGCTTTTTTACGTGATGTTTTCAGTTGTCATTTAATATGGGCTTCAGGTAATGTCCTACAAGTCCTTAAGACTACACCGGAGGTCTTGAATGATAGAAATAAACACACATATAGATCATTATCTTTTCCCAACCAGACTGAAACAAAGGCCAGTGGGAAATTCTGCCAGCCACTTCCTACCAGGTCAGTCTTACTCTGTTCCTGAAATACCAAGTCTTCTCTTACATATATCAAATACCCATGCCTGAAAATCAGGAAAAGGTAACTGCTGGCTGAACTGACTGAAGGCTGCTCTGAAAAGCCAACTTTTCTGGTCTGCAGCAAGGGCTTTTTAAAAAGCCTAAGGGATTTGGCTCACACAAGTATAAAAGTTCCTGCTCAGTGGAAAGTGGTGGAGTTGGCCAAGGTTTCATGTGGCCAACTCCTGAAACTTTGGGATGTGGGAAGACAAGGAGGGCGTGAGAGCCAGAGGCAATCTGGCAGTTCTCTGACAGCTGTGATGAAAGAGAATGAGAGAAATCAACAGAAAGCTGGTCCTCATTGCCTGGCCACAAGAAAGATCTGGATCTTGTTTTCTTTTTATGTAGGAAGTCAAAGCTAAGATCTCAGGGTATCCATGGTTCTCAGCCTTGCTGTGCAGAAGGAGCCCAGTTTGTTCAACATTTTGTTGCAGCACAATTGTGTCAAACTTTTGCTAAGTTTCAGCATCCTCTTTACCCTTCATCTCTCCCTTTGGTCAGGTTTAGACTATCCCAGCTCTGATTCACTGACTTCACTACTCTGCTCACTGTAATCGTAGCTAAGAGTGATGGAAGCTTCATTAGCATTGCAATTAGTGCTACAAGAGATGGAGAGAAAGTGAATGCCCATTAGTTGGTCCTTCTGCAGGTGCTGCAGGATCACTGTTAATACGCCGTTAAACAACTGTACAGGCATTGTGCACTGAAGCCAATACCCAGGAAAGTCAATTTGTAATACACGAATGCACATCCCTCTATCTCTAGGCTTAGCAATAACGAAGGCTTTACAACAGAGATACAGAGGGGACTTCCTTGTATAACACTTGCTGTCATGAAGGAATTGTTAAAATTCTCTGCTTGCCAAGAGTACAAAAAATGAAGACATAATTTCAATTCTAAAAAACCCCCCCCTTGAATATCAGGAAATGAAAATGCAAATATTACTACTCAATGTCCAAATGTCATCAAAGAAAGAATTGGACAAATCTGAAAATAAACTGTCATTTGAGTGATTTCGTTTAGCCTCAGGGTTTAACATTACCATATAAACAGGTTTGCATAATGCTAAGACTGACTTTGGACATAATTCATTAAATCATGTATGTAGATGTTCTGCATTTTGCCACGTTCCCTTTCTGTGTAATACAGATTGATCACAGGAGTGTTACACGGCTGTCGTGCAGAATGGGCACGGAATTTAAACAAGGAAAGCATTACACACAGAGGACAAATGTGTGCCTATGGAAATATAACCCTCTCCCATTGAAAAGGATTTTGATCAAACCTGGCTTTCAGCTGGAATCCTGTTCAGCCAGGGCTGGCCAGTGTGATTGGACAATAACACCTGCACATTCAGATGAAGATGGATAACTCGCTTCTTTTTATACAAACTGTGGGTCCCTGCTCTGAATTCTCCTTTTCACTAAATGTAAGATCTGTGAAGTTATTCTCTTCTGACAATTGACAATGTTCATCACGGGTTCCCAGTGCTGCCATTTCAAGCCAGAAAAACCACTAAGCAGGACGATGGTCTTAGCAGCGCTACCACTGATCCCTGATGCAGGGTCTGGCTTTACATGGTTTTCATTCACAACTACAGGATTTTGTAATGCAGACACAGAGTACCACATATAACTTATGGATCCATGTCTGCACATTAATAGCTATAGTAGAGGTGGTTATTTAGGTCCAGAATTTTACACTGCCCCCAGAAGATTTGCCAAAAATGGCAGCTTATCCTTTCATGAGTTCAAACAGAGACAGCAATTTACCCCTAGCATACTGTCACACCTTTTAGGTATGCTGGACTTGACTCTGAAGCCCTCACTCAGCATTAGCACTCTGTAGAAGTTTTGCCTGAGAAAGGACTGCAGGGTCAGCCCCTTCAGCTCTGCATCCCATGTTTTAGCACCAGCACTGGGATTGCCAGCTTGCTACAAAACTTTACTGTGTAGATACTTTTTGCCTTTCAGAAAATAAACTAATATAAGTTTTGCTTTGAGATATTTTAAACCTAGCATATAATGCAAATGGATATATCAGCAACCATTTATTTTCCTTCCCTTTTTTTTGTACTACAACGAAATAATTTGCACCTTATATTTTAAATGATAAAAATGGCAGATTTTTTTTTTCCTAACCACAGAAGACGTGATTGCTGTCACCTTCTGCTTGGTCTAGTTAGTAATGAAAACTTACCAACAAAGCACTTAAAAACATTCCTGCTTAAGAATAAAAATAAGTATCAAATTTTAAAACTTAAGTTATCTGCATGCGTGCGCGTGGGTGCACCCCTACACATATGCTTATGTGCAAGACAGACTGAAGATTTTGTGACTACCCCAGTAGCCTTATTGAGAACAAGCACTGCCTGGGCTTGCTAATGAATTTTATTGTGTGCCCTAAATACAACATTCTTCATTTAATCTGCAGGGCTTGGACCGTGCAGTTGCCGTTGCATCAGTGTGACTAAAGCCCTGGATTTCACAGTGAGGATTGGAGGTCCCCAGAAAAACATGAACTTCACAAAGGAATGTTAGATTAAAAACAAGCACTGTTAAAAAACCCTACTGAATAAGAAATAACACTGTGATTCTATTACATAAACCTGTTGGCAACCCTGGTTTCAAACACGCTTGCGTCTAGAGCTGGTTGAAAAGCTGGAGCGTTGTCTTGACTGAAATATTTCAACCAGTTCTCATTGCTACAAACTTCCCTAAAACTACGGCTCATGACTGTCAAAATCAAGACAAAAAAAGAAAGGGATATGTGAGGGGAGGAAGGCCTTTTCTTAATAAAGGCAGCTTCAGTTAGTAAAATAACATTATCTTCAAGCTGCAAAGGCAGCACCTACTAATTAGTCATTGACTAAAACATAAATAATAAATACCTAAATTGTTCCTTCTATGCATCCATTTTTGTGCCACATAAACATTTCAATGCTCTGCCTTAATGCCAGCACAGCTGACACCACAATTTCAAGTCCAAAGCAAACTGCAAGTAGCTTTAAACCAATATGACAGAGATTCTACAAGTCACTGGGAACTGTGTGTTACAGTCATGCTGCAATTGTTGTTTAAAAGGGAATTCAACCTTCCAGTGAGATATGATTATGGAATGATTTAAGGGTCTGTTTCCCTCCTGGTGTGCACACTCAACTCTCAGCAGAAAGTTAGCCATGCACACAGAAGGGTGAACAGATACCTTACTTCATTAAAGCAACAGGACTTCTTTCCTAATTAACCCAGTAGCTTCTAATGGCCTTTTTGGGTTCTGTTGCTAATAAGAGATTATTACCACAGCAACAACAACAAAGTGCATGTTTTTGCTAACGTCAAATGCATTAGTTGGAGATGAATTTGCATACAAAACCTGTATTTTAAAAAGTTCTTGGAACGTAAATTAATTTTTTCCTACTGTAGAAAATGCATGTTAAAATGATGCAAAACATGCCTATTTGAAACAGGATGCAGCTTGCTAGGAATTTTGAAGGCAGGCAAGGGTAGACTGACAGAATAAAGTAAAAGCACAGAGAAACATGGCATTGCTCTCCTTTCTGTTCAGCTCCTGGCTTCAGGCAGGGACCCACGTCCTGCACAGCCTTCCAGATGCCCTGCACAAGCCTAGAAGGATCCTTCTTCACAAAGAGATGGAGATCTGAGACCAAGGGAGGGAATTAGTGTTAAGACTAACTAGCCACTGCTCAAACTAGGGAAGAAATACGTTGTTGCAGATTTAGGTCCCCATTTGACCATTTCACTGGTTCTGTGCAACTCCATCGCCTGAGAAAAAACTCAGCTCAGCTCATGAGCAAAATCAGCAAAGGATGTGAGCAGACACATCACGACCCACCCCAACCTACACATGCACACCTGCTGTACTGGCAGCCTGTGAAAATGCTCAGGTAGTGGTGGGCTCAGAAAATACCTGCAGATTTGAAAGGGCTGAAATTCAAAATACTTCTTTGTTTTTTAATAAATACTCTTACTGCGCTGACCCTGAACCCGACTGCATGAGACATAAAAGACTAATATAGCAAAACACTGATTCCATTTAGAGCTGATCTGAAAATTAGTCTAAAAAATCTCTGAAAGTTTCTGCTTTTGCTTCTTTTTCCTAACTAGGATAACAGACATCAGCTGAGTCCAGAATTACTTTGTGTTATTAAAAACCAGAGGGATGGGGTACCATAATTATTTCACGTTCTGTGAGGTTATGTGGCCATAGAGGCTCCAGCCTGCAGTAACCGACCTCTGGGAATTTTGCTGTGATTTATTCATGGTAGCAAAATAATGAAAACCTATGAAGTAGCAGAGGTGCAGACAAATTTATTTTTAAAAAACACTTTTAGCAGCTGCTCCTTCACTGCCGTCTCCATGGCTTGGCACTACTGTTTCCAAACCCACAAGACAGTGGGTGCAGCAGCACGTGGTACGGCCGGGTCCCCATGGGACAGCACAGGCTGTGGGACAAGTGAAGCTGCTCCCAAAAGAGCTGATGGAGAGGGCAGTGCCAAAGGCCTTGTCTGAAATTAATTTTTTTTTTTTAATTTTTTTTAAAATGAATTATATATTGCAATAGGTAACAAAAAAAAAATGTAACATTCCCTTAGGTTTCTGAAATCTGGTGTGGGATTCACACAGAAACAAGGTTAAATTCCCTTTTAAGAGCCTATGCCGGAGCAGGGCACACCCAATGCTACCTCAGGCGGCCGTCGGGTTTGACGGGGCCCAGCTCAGATTTGGGGTCGGGGCTCAGGGAGCTCCAGGCTGTCTGGGCACAGCCCTGCATGACCGGGCAGGCGGTGGGGCCGACGCTGCAGATGTCCACGGCTGACCAGACGCTGCCCACTAGAGAGTCCACCCAGGCCTCCAGCCGCGCGCCCACGAGCCCCGCGTTCCTCTTGGCCTGGTCCACGCGGGCGGCGCTGATGGGGATGTTGAGGACGGGGTTCAGGCCCTGGAAGCTCTGCTCCATGTACGCGTTCTTTGGAGGCCCGCTGTGGTACTTCATGGCTTCCTCTGGAAATGCAGAAATAAACACAAAAGTTAGTGCATTACAAAAAAAAACAAACCTAAAAGTTGGTGCATAAAAGACCCAACATTGAGGATCTAAGGGTACAGCAAACAAAAGAGCAAGGTTAGTGGTGCACTGTGGCTCATTTCCCCAGCACTGAGGACATACAGTGTCCCAGGGATGACTGGCTGTGCTCAGCACTGTAAGTTCTGCTCACTGTGATGCTCCCCCTGAAAGCACTGCCTTAGCAGAGGGAAGCTCTGAGCCTGAAAGCAGCGTCACCCTTTTTATCAACACGTACGACCAGCACTCTCAGAACATCCAGCCATGGCTGCACTTCAAAATGAGGAAACAGTTCAAGGATGGTTGGTGCGAGAAGGCTGCCAATCCCTGTCAGACCTTCCAGTGGTATTACTGATCTGTCTAGGAGGAAGAGCCAAGATCTCAGACTGTTTTGTTTTTTTTTTCTCCCCTAAAGAGGAGAACCTTGACCAGTTGTGGAAAAGTCACAACATTTCTTAGCTCTATCTGCCATTCCTGGCAACACCATGGCCTCGGACAGGCCAGAACCATAATGAAATATGTGTAGCCCCAATATAATTCCTGGAAGAGCTCCAGTCTCCCTGGGAAAGAATTCTCTACCAACAATTATATTTCAAGCACTTGGGCAGAACAGTAGATCACAACCATTCCCTAACGACTCTTTTCTTTGCATTTGTGGTTGCTTTCCTTTCAGTAAGCCTTCTGTCTCAGCAAAATGCAGTACAATACCCCAAATCTGCAATACTGCAGTAAAAATCAATGTCAGGCTGTGACAATGCTCTCAAAAACCTAAACTGGACACTGTGGGTCAGGCTGCCTGTGTCTAAAGTTGTCTGACTTCTGAAGGTCGGTGAGCGCACCGACGTGCTGCTCATAAAATCAGAATGGGACTCTCCAAAAATGTTCACCGAGTGCCTTGGGAGCAAATTTCCAACCATTTCTTTCTGTTCTCAGTTGCCTTCCCCAGCATCCTCGCTCTGGCAGCATAGAGGATATGTTTAGCTCTGCCAACAGACACACTGTCTAGAACAGAAAATGGGCCCATTCAGGGCGCTCCAGGCGAGGAAAGCCACCGTGCACAGCGAGCGTCAGAGGCCAGGAATTACATATTCACGGCTACAATTCCTTCCACATGTCCTTGCTGCTTGCACTGCAGCCTGACACTGAGTCCTTTCTTCCACGCAGAGGACAGTATCTCAGGTGCTGGCAATAAATCTGTATATTTATTCAGAGGAAAAACAGGGATGTTTAATTGCAGCTTTGCTGTTACATTTGCAAAATCTTTAATGTCAAGTACTGTGCAATTCCATTACTGCAAATCCCCAATTAAACTTGTTCAGCACATCCACATCACTTAACTGTTCCTGTGTCCATCTAACCCCCTCTTTTTATTTTAAAAGGTAGATATCCACAATAACCTCTGGTCAAAATGAGTTAGTTCCACGCACATGTGTCAGGAGTGTGTTCTGCCAGAGCACTGCAGTTTAAGAAACAGAACGAGTATACGTGATTAAATTTCCTTCTTTGGAAGCAATTAAATATGGAAGACTGTTTGTCAACATATTAATTAAACAGGAACATTCAGAGGAAAAATCCCAAAATAAATAACAGTTGGCATTACTAGCAGGATCATCTGATCGAAACGGGCAATTCATCCAGCTTGTTGAATCAAAGCCTGCTGTGCATGTGTTTAGTGCGTGGAACAAGAGAGATCTTTATTCAGACATGAAACAGGATGAAATGGAACTTGCTCATCTCTCTGGCTCAGCCTTGCACTTGTCCCAGGCCTCAGGACTTGGTGGATTATCAGGACTGGAAGGAATGAAAACTAAAGAAACCACAGGACCCAGTGGCAGTGCAGCACACACCATGTTAAGGGGTTTCCACTGCCCACAGGGAAATGTGCTTTGATGAACCCTGACCTGTTACTGGTAGGAGACTGTCTGGCCCCACAGCAGAATGTCACCCCAGTTGGGTGTCAGCACGTCCTAGAAAGGAAAAGCTGGGTAACAGCAATCTGAGTGCAGAGTTACATACACTCATCAACAGGAAATGATGAGGATTCGACCCAGAACCCTCTCCTGGAGCCTCCAAGTCTTTGTTGAACAGTTCATAGCAGAAAGAGGGAGGATGGCAGATGTGTGCTGTCCCTCTGTGCATTAAAGGAAATAGCAGAGACAGAACCATCACTCTGTAACTTACTGGGCTGGTACAGGAGAGGGACAGTGCAGCTCCCAAGCCCTGAAATGCTGTAAAAACGAGGTTGGAGCTACTGGGTGTGCTGTTAATGCACTGACACTTCAGTCTAGTGTCATGAGCAAGAGCTCATGAAAAAATAATGAAGAACATAAGGCTTGCCTCTATGAGAGGTGCATTTAGACATTTAAATCTGTACGGTTAGAGCACACAATTCAAAATTAGCTGAACTGCAGACATTTAGCTAGACTTTTCTGCCAGCAAGCACATCCAAGCAGCCCTTTGACTTCAGGAGGACATGCATCAATGCAAAATATATTCCACTGACTCTAAAATATAGCTTTAAAAAACGTGGTCATTTTTGTCCCCCATTTTTATTTGCTCTTCACTCTGTGAGGGCACATTTCTCAACTGACTTTTCTTGGTATAACTTCTCTGAACTAAACACACAGCCTATAGCCAGCTGCATAGGCTGGGATTTGGGAATTTTTGTGTGGGTTTGTTCCTCATTTTGCAAAAAAAGCAAATGGGTTTAGACAGAGAGTGGGCTAAGGAATGAAAAATGTGGTTACCTTGGTACACATTAAGGTGCTAGACCTGTGGGTTTTTTAAAGCAACACAGAATGTACAGCTTTATTTCTTTACTTGAATTGTGCTGAAACCCTCTGGCAAAGAGGTAATTTTTTATTGACATTTTGTTTGTTTTCTCTTGCAGCAAACAAGACAGTGCTGCATTTGCTCATTGTGGAGCTAATCGACTCCTTGTCGGCTGGATCTGAACTAAATTTTGAAGCAAATCCCTATCTTCAGGGTTTTTCTCGGAATGATGATTCCAGGGCATGTCTGCTCTTCTGCAGTCATGTGCCTGCCTGCTGCTATTACTGCATTTATCAAGAACATGTCATGTTACCTCTGGTTAATTTAAAGAAATCACAGCAGTCCTGACACAAGTTGCCACCCACTTTATAATCTGTATAGATGCAATTAGAATTGATTGAGCCACTGCAAACAACCAAGGGCAAAACAAAGGTTTCCCAGTATATACTAATTGAGATGATCTATAAATATGGATTAGGTTAAAAGGCTGTTGAGGTGCCTGTGTGCATCGCCTGTGTCTGCTAATGCTGTCAGGCTCTGAAAGGGCTGGCTGCAGTTTGGGGGCACAGGGACAAGGCACTGGTGTTTCAGGATCCCTGGGAGCAGCAGAGATCGGCAGCTCCACATCCAGGACATGCCATCAAGCTGGGAACAGAGCAGCAAAGGTCTTTCTTAAGGCAAAGAACGAGGTTGCTCTTTTTCACTGCCCTCCTTGCTTGAAGGAACAAGGGGTTTATGTATTAATTTATTTATTTATTTTCAATCCAGAGTTTACTATCATCTTGAGGGTTTGGGGCTTTTTCTGTCTCAGAAGTGAACTTGCCCCCTGGCTCACCATAACCTATTTGGCTTTAATGGAGCAGGTACTATCCATTAAACGTATGACAACTCATTATCGGCGCTCCAGCTGGGAGAGCGCTGTGGAAACTTTACCATGAATATAAACTCCAATTTAAAAATGAAATTGCTTTGCCTTTTTCTCTGCCCCTCCCTGTGCCCCCGGGAGATATGTAAGATCACACTTGGCGTGACTGTTTCACATGGCCTTTGTAGAGCAGGGAAGGGGGAAAAGTGGCGTGATGGGGACGCGGAGCCAACCTCTGCTGAAGTTGGTGTTTTCTTAGGACTTGAAATCTACCGGGTAGCTTGGATTGTAGTCTGTGAACTGCTGGCTAAATGCTCTGAATTATACCTGTTGTTTGGCTCTGTCTCTGCAGTCCCTACACAGGGGACCTGCACATTTGGCCTCGAGTCTGCAACTTTGCAGTTGCAAAACTGTAAACTCAGGCTGCCTAAAGCAGACAGCAAGAGTCCTCCACTCCTGTCTGTCATCAGTGCTAGTGATCTTCTACTGATCTGCTCCCTGTTTTGTCTCCTCCACGTCCCATTCCCTCTTAGTCTTGGCACAATTACTCCTAAAGCATCCTGCTGGTCCTTGGCAGCCCTCCCGTGTCCTTACAACAAGTACAGAGTACTTGGCTTTAACACACTCGACCATATGGTGAGAAACTCAACATCATTTTTTAGAAAAATAAACTGGAATCTGTCTGTGCAGGACATAGAGGGAAGGGGACTTTGGTGGAGTGAGTGAACCTGATATCTCCAAATGATTTATCTCACAAATTCACCTAATTTCCTTTTTTTTTTTTTTTAACTTCCTCCAACCTCAGTATTTGAAGGCATTCCTGAGCCAGAGGATCTGCTGAAGGCAGAGCAGATCAGTGACACAACTCAAAGTAGAGAAAATAGAGACAGATTTGGATGACTGGAGGGGGAAGAGGAGCAAGAAAGAATAAATAACATTAGATTATAGATTTCCCACTGAAATAGCTTTGGGAGCCTCCTTTACAGCAGAAACACCCCAAACAGCATCCTCAGTAATTCCATGTAAGATCCAGTCTCATACAGATCCAGGTTTTGAAAAGGCCAGTGAATCTGTGCTTTTAAACAATTTACATTCTATCAGTTATGCTCATTTGGACATGGTATCAAAGAAAACACATGATCCCGATTTCCTTTTGTGGTTTTACTTGCATGCACAGAATTTAGGCCAAAATTAATAAATAAATGGAAATAGAAAAATGAATAAACTAGTGGCATATGCTGCTTTTATAAACTGCTAAACAAAGCATCTTTGCTGGCAGCTGTCCCGTGATTATTTTTTTATTTTGAGTTGTAGTAATGAATTTTGAGAGTCACAATACAGGAATGAACATGTTTCACTTTGATTATACAAAAGAAGAGCAAGTGACTCCTTTCAAGACTGCAAACCCAAAAGCAACTTTCCCTTGTTGTGTAGATGAGCACTGATTTAGGAAATACAGGGACTGCTGTGTCCTTGTTCTCACGATATAAGATTTAGTGGCTGATGCCAGATTTGTACAAATGCTTTTCAGAATGACACAAGCAAATTGCACACAAGATCATGGACAGATTTTTATGTACATGGGCTCCAGTTTCTACATCTGGAGTGTATGAGAGAGAGGGGCCCAAATCATTACTGAGGAAATTACACACAAAGAGGTATGAAAACCATCAGTCATTCAAAAAGCTTCTGGAGTAGCAAATTACTTTCCAGAGCAATCTTTCTGACAAGGGCTTTTTTTTTTTCTTTACCGGGGGGAGAGGGTGGAATTTGTTGTTGGTGGTGAGGGAGCATGGTTGGAAGAACAAAATTTTAAAGAAATCTCTGTTGAAACATATTCCCCTTTTCTGCTGACAACTCCTGGCTAAGTCTGATGTATGTTTTATTTTAAATGTTAAGACAAGAATACTATTCCTTCGTTTTAGAAGATTTTTGGCAGATTTTTCATTGTTTACAGTAACAGAAATCGATCTTTTAGGAGTTCTAATTCTTCTGTCATACTCTCAAAACGCCTTTACTTGGCAGAGAAAAATGTATTTAAATAATAAAGTGGTGACAAACTGACAAAAGCTGGAAATCAAAGCTAAATGACAATTGTCTGCACAGAGCAACAGTAGTGTCACTGAGACAGAAAGCCTTAAAACCCAAACAACAGGAATTTGCATTGTAAGTACAATTCTAACTACAGTGGAGCGTCACTACCTGCCCCTGTAATTAATTTTCTTCTCTACCCCCATGTCTCAGTTATCTAGACATTATACATCAGATCATCAGTAGCAAATCATTCCTGAGACTTTCTTCCTAGACAATACTGTTCCCAAGCTTTCTATTTCATTCCTGTAGCCCGTTCTGGTTACCATATGAATGAACAAAGCCCCTCAACAAAAAATACGAGCCAGACCTTCTCCCAGTGTAGGCAATACAGAATAACTGCATCGTTTTAGTGGAATTATTCCAGGCTCAGAGTTTGGACCAAAGGGAGTTTTGCCTTTATACCATAAAGTGTGGGCATAAAGTCTGAGACACGATTACCTGCCCACGGGGCTCTCATGTTATAGGCAAAAGTAGCAAGGTTACTTGCTATGTGCCACGTTTTCCGTCCAATTTATGCCTTAAAAGTTAAATTACCAAAGAACATGGAATTCATTACTTTCCAGGAGACGAGTCAGTAACAGCTGTGTCTAGAAGGAGGCTGCCTCAAACTTTAAAAATGTATTCCTTCTACCCATGATGTTTGTTCACAATTTATCACTGCCTATTAACTAATAACAAGAGCAGGTTGGAGGTGGTTTAGTTTCTGCTTAAGAAACGATGCCACCAAATGTTAGCAGCAGAAATCAGTGAGTTTGCTCTTCTGCTGGGAACCGTGTGGAATCAAGCTCCTGTTGAGCGAGATAAGGGCTGCATTAGCTCTCAGCAGTTGTCTGTTGGTGTTTGCATTACAGAAGCAGCACGTTTTGCTGGAAGGTAAATGCCTGACTCAGTTTATTTGCTGCCTTGTCAAAAAGAAGAACTTCTGAAAACTTAATAGGATCATTCATGTATCCAGCAAATTTAAGATGTCCAAAGTTATGAATATTAATAGTGGGCAGATGGAAGCACTTGTGCACTTTAAGAAGAATGGGAAAGATATTCAGAGCAACATGCTTGTTTTGATCTTAGTGAATAAGAAAACAGGTGTGGCTGTAAAACATTCCTTCTTCTCCCAGCAGTGTCCTGGGCACTGGCTGCAGACCTGGGCACTCAGATGGCGCCTGTGCCGTTCAGACTCCTCCTGGAGCCTGGAGACACTGGCAGCCCCAAAACGACCTCTGCATTTGGATGGCTCAGGGCTGCATCCATAGATACTTCTGTCACAACTGCTTGGCACGTACTGAGCAGGTTTTGGCAGCTATCAGGCAAGAGTGAATGCCTGGACCTGACAATATATCAGGTGAGCTCTGGCCTAGGGTAATTTTCCCTAATTCAGCATTTTGTGTATTAATGCTTTTATTGTTAAACACACAGACTTTGTCTGAAAACAGTTTAAACATCTGTAACTCTGTAAGAGAAAATTTGAATGATAGGCAGCACAGAAAGGTCAATTTTTCTTTCTATTTCTAAATGATGGCTTTTACAATAGCTGTTAGATTACTGAGAGTCTGAAGTTCTCTGGATTCTGAACTGTGCATATTTTAAAGATATAAACAGTCTTTTGTTCAAAGTGGCTGTGTTTTACAGACTGGATACAGACACTTCTGCTTGTCTTAGTGCAGAAGTTTCTTAAGATTTAGTATCTATAAAATTCCTTTCTTATATCCTTTTCCAATAGAGTACTTCTTCATTTTTAACAGTATCATTTACAGTGAATGCAGACACAATAACTGTATTATTTCTATAGCAAATAATAAAACTTACCTTGTTTGATAGGCTGCTGATTAGAGAAGGTGAGAGGAGTAACAAGGAATTTGGTTTCAGCTACCTGTACCCAGTGGTGCAGGATTTTTATTGTCCAGACACCGGGTCGCAGGGGCAAATTCAGAGGTGGTTTGTAGTGAGTAAACTCGGCACTGGATTCAATAAGAATATCATAAGTTGCTGCGATTACATTAATAGGATCCACCCAGATGACAGTCACGGTGACGTTGGGGCCTTTTCCCCATTTCTGCATGCCAATTGGCTCATCTGTTGGCCCGAGGAGTCCTCCAAAATTTCGGAAAAGCCTTTCCTTGGCGTCCCATTCGGTGCCAATCTGAAATGGAAGAATACACTGCTGCTGGCATCACCTCTGCGAGCATCTCAGACCCTTGTGTCAAATAAGGGCTCTCAGGAGACATAAATCCTGTTTCTCTAATGACATGAATTATACATACATATAAAAGCTGACAGCAACATGACCTGAGATCATAAAGTGTACACAAATTGTGCAACAACCTTAAATGCAAGGCTTGCTTTTTTCGTCCACTTCTGATTGATAAAAAGGTTTCCTTTATCTTAAGAGTGACATAACAGGCTATAGCAGCTCTCCCTTCCTTCCATGGAAGCAGTCAACAAGGGACTAAGCCTAGTGACTGAACACAGGCTATGCATAGAAAAAAATGTGACCCATCATCTCCTGGGTCATAAAAATGTATTACATATCTGAGAGATGGAACCTGCAGTACAGACCCACCCAGCTACTGCTAAGACCAGGAAAGAAGCTTTTGCTGCTGACTTTAGGACAAGTCACATGAAGTCCTTTACAACAATCCATCCATGAGATGCTGTCTCCTTGCACTCCCTTCCTGTCTGATATGGGAAGTTATTTCTTGTAATCTCTTTTCTTACTGTCATTACAGTGACATTGTTTTTTATTTATTCACTAAGGAACAGTAAACCAGCTGATTCACAACCTAGTGTAAATATTTAATGGACTTTTTCCTACTAGCTTTCATATTTCAGTGCTCTTTATAGGAATTTCAGTGGTTCACCCATAACCTGCGGAATAACACAAATTTACAAGCTATTACCATTAAACCCCTCATAGTCCTTCAGGTCTTCTTTTGACCTAATCTCCAGATAGTGGAGATCACCAAAGAGCTGATTTGTTCCCTGTACAGAAACCATGTGATTCTCTCAAATGGCCTCCAGAGATCCATGCACATCCAGGTGGGATCCCCACTTTCAGAATATATGTGGATATTGCAGATTCCACCAACACAGAGCTGTCCTTGTCCCTAAGTCTCACCTCACAGGGGCATGGTCAGAACCTGCTTTCCCTAAAGCATTGTGTAGCTCATTTGCTTCAGAGATTTTTCTTCTTGATTTCATCTCATTTCATAAGTGATTCCAATATAATGCCAAAATCCCCACAAATCCCCAAAACATAACAATTACCTGATGCCTATTACTACTGATACCTGTACTGGAAACTGTCCAGACTCCAGTCCCTTCTAAATAAATCCCTGTGGTTGGCAGATAAATTACATGAGGACTGCAAGCAAAAAGCTACAAGGTCAGTAAAATAAAACCCCACCATCTTAAATCCATCTGTCATGATATGAATTCCTCCTACCGGACTATGACACTGCAGAATATGAGACAAAATGAGGCTTCCACTACTCTGCAATCAACACAGCATTTCTGGTATTTCAGAGGTATTTCACCCAGCACACCAGCTAATCAAACCAGACAGTGTAGCCCAGATATCAGACCCAGGCATCGACTGCCTCGAGGAGCTGTCAGTGCGTACTCTCCTGACAAGACTGGATGAATATGTATGGAAATAAGCTGAGAAAGGAAATTTCCTGACCAGATCTTATTATCTACTCTGCCAACCTTCACTGAGTGCAGCCATGTCACACCTACCGGTGCTCAAGAGACCTGGAAATAATAAAGCCACAAAATGTGAAAAAAATCCACACCCTCCTGGGCATGGAAAAGCCTATAAGGAAGCTCTTTGCACTTCATTCGGTATTTCTTACTGAAGAACTCCTTGAAGAAAACTTACTTCATCCTCAAAAATTAAATGTTCATTCCTGACATCCAACTATTTCCCCTCTCTTTAGCCTTTTCATCCCTGGGTAAAGAAATCAGAAAGTTACAGTCCCCTTGCTCCAGCCTCCAGGTGACACCGCTCAATACCAGGTTGCACAAAAGATGTTGAGACGTGTTCACGTGCACAAAGGTTTATTTATTAGAGTGCTCTGCAGAAGAGCACTTTTGGGGAAAACATATAACAGAATCATTGTCTGGTTGCTAAGCTTTGTGCAAGCATGGTATTGGGCTCCCTAATGCAAACCAAAAGTTACAGCCAAAAGGCAGGGGAAGAGAGGAATAAAGGACAACCATGAGGGTCTGTCACACCTCTGTTGGGGCGTGCAGGTCCATGAAACAGCACAGAACCAAAAGGAGGACACTCAGCAACACAAAGGCACCCAGGCACCCCAAACCTCCACGTGGCCCAAAGCCAGGGCTCACACCAAGGCTCCACAGGCACCTCGGGGAAGGGACAGGCAGGGAGCTGTACACATCTACTCACAGGATCTGCCCTTTATGTCTGGTTTCCAGCTGGGGACACACTTTCCCATGCTGCTCAGCTTGCAGTACAGCTGCTTTTAGAAGCACAGTATTTTATAGGGAATTTTCCTTAAAGCACTGGTTAGAGGTTCGTACCTCTTCCCTTGAACTTTACACAGCTGAGTTCCCAGGACCGAGATGTCTGATTTTACAGGGCAAGAGATACTACAGTTCTATAATAATTTTCACAGCCCCTTAAAACATTGTGAGTAAGCTTTCACTTTCAAATGGAATACACAAAGTATGGGATAGAATCAAGCAGTAATAAAAATCTGATAAATTATGAAGGAATGTGGCAAAGAAACTGACATTTTCCACATCATTATTTTAATCACCATTAGTTTGGGCTTCAAGAGCAAGCACTGTGCACAGGTTTTGTTTGGAAATCTCTCATTGGCTTAAAACTTCTGTTTCTATCTCTGTTTGGTCCCAAGATAAAATTTTCACAAGACAAATTATGCCTTGATTATGGGTTTGTGTCTCATTGCTCACCACAAACAGGACCATTAGGTTCACACAATGCACACTAATTGCCTGCCACCTAGTTTATTTTATTTTCTGTGATGAATCACAAGTCTTAACAAGACCAGAAATGAACTTAGTGTTCATCTGACAGACAGTGAGCTGAGACTTTTGGTTCTGCACAGCAAATAAATCTCCTGCCCTCCTTGGAAAAGTTGCCTGAACCCAGGCTGGCAGGACACATACTGTGAGCATTGTGCACAAGCCAATTTAAGGAGGTGTGGGAGTTTCACACTTGGAAATCATCTCTCTCGGATTTCCTCTAAGTTTATTTTATTTTACTGAGCCCAAGTCTGAGTGCAGAACACTGTCATTAACCCTGCCAGCCGTGGGGCAGCCCAGCTGGCCCATTTCTTTCCATGGTGTGTGGTGAAATCGGCTCCTTGGGAGGCAAAGTCTGAGAAGCAAAGCAGAGGAGCAGAGGGCAGGAAGCAGTGACTGGAGAGATCCCACCATCTCTGCTGCAATCTCAGTTGTGCATCAAGGTCACAAACACACTCGGGAGCACACTCAATGCCGCATATTTGTGCTCTTCCTGCTGGTGTGAGCTGGGAGAAGGGAGAAAGCTCCCAGATAAAATAGCCCCATTCAGTTTTTAAATTCCTGCCAGATCATGGGGTGAAAGTTGTTGAAGAACCAGCAGCTCTATGTCCCAATAAGCACAAATCTCAATTCTCGTTTCTGTGAACACTAATGCTCCCCCATCTTAGCTAAACTGCTAAGTTTGTTTTCCACTCGCTGGACTTTGACAAAGGAGTGGCATTTTAATAAGCTGTAGCAGATCAGAGCTTTCCAGCCACACTAAAGCTAAAGAAGTTAATGCTGGATTTATACCAGGGTAACTGAGAGAATAATTTGGCTCATAGGCAGAGATCCCTGCAGGCCAAGGGAAGGTAGAAAGTAAAATAAACCATTAAGAAAAGATTAAATTATTTATTTTGCACCTCCTGATCTTTTAAAATAAGAATCATCTCTAAAAGGAGAGGACAACTAAGGGATTTAGTTGAGAACATATAATGAAAACAAGTATGCAGCCACCAAAACTCTTTTTGTGAGTTTCAAATAGAAGAAAATATTTCCTTATCCTGAAAAAAGCTCACTGGTGATTAAATTCTTCCCATGCTTTGCACTCACACAGTTGCCCTGCAGCAGCAGTTCCTGTGGGGCTGCTCACAGACCAGCCCATGCTTTGCTGCAAGACTGGTCTGGGGGAGAAAAGGTGCCCTGTGGCCAGAGGGGACCTGGCAAGTGGTGAGTGAGTAAATTCTGGTCTCTTCCTCCCTACAACTGCAGTGAGGTCAGATGTATTCTTTCTAACTATTTTTGTTTGAGTTCTAGAATACCAAGATCAATATATTCCTTTCTATCATACTGTCAGAAAAAACTCTGTCCCTGCTGCCAGCCCAGTTGCATTCTAAAAGAGGACCCAGAGCAGACATCAGGTTGAAAGTGAGATTAAAAGAACTAAACAAACAGCAGAAACACTCCTACAAATCACAAGAATTAAGGCTTGTATGACCATTTATCACTGCATGAAATGGCAAGCCTACCATCAGACAAATTGATAAATGGAGCACACTTTCCATCCATCTCTTTAATGGCACATTAGTGTCATGGATTTGCCATGCACACCAAAACACTGAATCCCACCTAGGCGTTTCTTAATTGCCCAAGGAGATGGTAATTTATGGACTTAGCCATAATGACTAGAACACATTTGTTCAATCAATTTTATACCTTAATTGAAATTTGTGGCTTAACAAGAAAAATCATGAAATTAACTGCTCAGGCAGTTGTATCTTTAAAACAGAACACAGATGTCGGGTTCTATTAGTGGTCAACTTTCCTGATATATTTTAGGGTACATTTTTTACACTCTATGTCAGATGCTGAGAAAAATTCCTAGAAAAAATGACAGGATTTGGGAGAAAGCTGAGTCACCACTGCGATAGTTTCCTCTGTTGTGTTACAACATCAACATTCTGCTCACATGTGGCATCGATACCTGACTATCACTAATTTTATGAGGTTTTTTTCAGTATAATCTGGAGAAAAATGTTTAAAGACATCACCATTCACATCTGGAGTTGCAGAAACGTGACATTTTCCCCAGGTGCCTTTCACAGCACTCACAACAGAGATGGTTGCAAAACTTTTAAGTAAGTTACTGTGCCCTTTTTACAACAGCAAAGGCCTTCAATTTGTTCTTAAAGCAAAAAGGAGTGAGGAAACTCCGAGTAATGTAAGGAGTGAGGGTAGACCACAGGTCTGACCTGGCAGCAGTATCTCCTGCGAAGATGATGTGCATTGTGCTAGGCAGCCACCCTCACCTAAAATTTACATGGAATACAGTTTCCAAAGGCTGCTGAATTGGTATGCAATCTCTTGATGCACTTACCTCTGAGAACTGCAGCCTTCCAAAATCGCTTGGTGGACTTGCGACCTTGAAGACTTTCTTGGGCATCACCCACGTCTCCAAAGTTTCTAGTTTACTGACAGCCAAGTTGGTTGCGTGGTGTCTGATCAGGAAGCCTTGGAAACGGTCAGCAAGGAAGTAAAGGTGGACAGAAACTGGATGGCCCATGGGGTAGTATCTGTAAAACAGCACACGCACACACTCATCAGTTACACGAGAGAGACATGAAATCTCCATTTACTTGGAGCTAATGGCTTAAGAAGCATTCATTTTAACTAGAAAATCTACCACTGTACATTAAGAGATTTCAAATGTGTCCATGACTCATTATCAAATATTCTTAGGCTGTTCTGATTACCCCGAAACGTAAAAGAAACATTGCTAAGAATATGTGCTCATTTAGAGCATATCCACAGCTCTAAGCTCTTTAGGACCTCCCTCTGTGTGCCAGGGAACTCCCCTCCCTAAGCACCTCTTCTGGGTGGGAAGTGCCACCCAGAGATATGCACAGATCATTAGGCTGTGCAGCACTGTTTGCTCAGATAAACTGCAGGATAAAGGATATCCCACCAATGTGCCTTTGCTTCAGCTGCTGCCTTTTCTGCCCCAGCAGGGTCAGCGCCTGCCCATGCGGGAGAGCACAAAATGCTGCAAGACCAAGCATCAGCCCCGAGCTTCCTTTATTCCCAAACCCCTGCCCCAAGGGCACAGCTCTTCAGGGTGGCACTGCAGCCAAGGAAACCAGGATCCAGTCCCCATTTTCTTGTATGTTAGGAAATAAACTTCACATTCCTTAAAGACTTGAGATTCAAAAAAACCCCAAACTGATAAAAGGACAACCAACCAGGCAAAACCTATCCTTGGGAGATTTGGGGGTGTTTGGTTGCAGTTCAGATTTAAATATACTGTGTTCACAGCTTCAAATGATTAACCTGTATGGTCAATTGTCTGCTACAGTCTCAGAAACACCTGTAATGATGTTTGAGTACATATGGATCCATAAATAATTAAAAATGTGTTATTCATAGCTCGGAAATCAAATATTTTACTAGTTTGCAGCACTGACATTAACTGCAAAACAAGTTGAACCACCAGTATCACATCTTCCCAGGAAGTCAGCTAAATCTGATTCCCTGTACTTGTTACCACAGCTCAAGACATGAGCAGTAAGAGGAGCTGACCAATGAAGACTTTCCATTGCACGAGGCCAGAAACACCCAGAAGGAAGTCTCTAGAGCTTGAGAAATAAACATAGGAAGCACGGTAAAAACACTGATGGACTGAGCAAAAACACAGCAAAGCTATGCAGCAAATACCACAAACAACCTGACTTCTGTTCTGAGTACTGAGACCTCCTGTTTTATATGTGTGCAGCAGCAAATATTTACAATATCCTTGAAATAGTCTGAGTAAATTGCCTCTTGGCAGCAGTGAGTAAAAATGCCTAGAGATGGAAGAAATAAATTAAATCTCAATCACACATTAATGTTGCTCTGACAGAAGATGCTGATACGCAATCTCATTTGGTACCCGAGCAGTCTGTGGGGGGCACGGCTTTCTGGGGCTGTGGGCTGGCCCCTTAGTGTATAAGGCAGCTTCTCTTATAAACATCTCCTGTGCCGCTGCAGGAGGCAGCAGGGACTGACTCCAGATGTGATCTGAAGCAGTAGCAGCTTTCCTCACAGTGCCGGCAGCGGCGTGAAACGAGCTGGGGTGGTGGCTGCAGGATCAGCTGAGTCGGTGCTGCTGTAGCCCCACCAGCAAAGGAACACTGTCGAGGTGCTCAGCCCAAATACAGCCCTACCATTACTGTGTTAGAGACACGCAAAATCACTGGAGGGAAAGAGGAAAGGTATATAGGCATACACCTAGAAAGACAGTGTAGTATCGAAGAGATGTGAATCATAAATCTGAGGAGTATCCACCTTTCTGTGATTTAAACTGAATGCTGACTCACAGTGTTTCAAGGGGGCTCATGTAGGTATGAAAATGAAGCCTCCACTCCATATCACAGTGCAATCCCTGCCTGCACTGTTTCATGAGGCTCCAGTCTGCTGTAAAGGAGCCATGCTTTATTCCAGGGACAGCTGCAATCAGCAGTGGGTGACATGATGTCCCTATCTATAATCTGAGCAAGCTTGAAAAGCACCTTGAGCTCCTGTGCAATGGAAAGTTCCTCAGAAAAGATATTGATAATTGATGTAAATCAGCGTCGGAACACTGGCAAAAGGAAAAGGGACAAAAGTAATTGTCAAGTTATTTCAGTGTTGGTTACACACAGCCCCCATCCTCTCCGTTGGCTTCACTTTGCAGGACAAATGACCCAGCCCTTTTTTAGGTCTGCCTTTATTTCATTTAAGGAAGGCATGCTACTAGTGATTATTTCTATCTAATTGTTATTGATCTTTTATTGCTTTGCACTGGTAACCTTCACTGACAAAACTCTAATAGGAATCTGGAGCACTTATTGCCACATCTTTCTAAATGGGACATTGCTCAGCATTTCCATGACTAATTTAGGAAGGTCAAGGCACATTTGGTTCCCTCTTGAGAACACAAGAGGGGCAACGTCCATCCATCAAAGCACACAGAGTGTTTTCAGTGTTGCTGACTTAGGCTGTGTTTTCTGTTAGGGAAAAAAAAAAAAGGAATGGTCGAGAAATACATTCTGAAGAATGAAATAAGAGACGGTAAAGTAAGACTTTAAAAGATGAGCCCTCTCTGCTTTGAATGTAAACAGCTTCAGATGTGTTTGCAGGTAGTGAACATCTACCGTGAAGAGAGCCTTTTCTGTGCAAGGCTAACTAGGAATTCTTGTTTCAAATCTCTTTTAGACTGAATTCTTCTTTGCTAAGCTTATAGGTGAAAAAGGAATCTAGAATATAGGGAAAATTTCCCTTTAGAGAATAAGGATCTTCATTTGGTATGTGTGTATATATATATAAATTATATTTATATATGAATACATTTTATGTATTTGGTGCTAATAGATCGTACCAGTTGCAGCACTTTTGGCACAGACAGCTGCACCAAGCAGGCAAACTGAGCCAAACAAGCAGCTCTGTGTACTCCATGTGTGCTCCCAGGGGAACAAACAAGCAAGGACCATTAACCTGCCTGTGTTCAGATTAGTTCTGAAATCCTGTCCTCTGCTCTTGGTAAGCATAATAGAGGAGAACATGACCTCTGCTGCAATCACACGGAGGGTTTAGGAGCTGTGGCTATAATACACTTGCTGAAATTAATCAAGGAAAACGCAGCAGTGGGGGTAGCACTGCCCAACTGGATCCTGTCAGTCTTCATCAGGCTGGAAAGCAGCTCCTTAAAAAGTGCAGCAAACAGGTCACTAATGTCAACCCAGAATAACCAATGCTTTATTATGGACATAAATACTCCTGGAAATAAGTGCTGTGCACTTGCAGCTGCCTGGCCCTGTTTGTGAGGGCGGGTTCCAGCCAGCGCAGCCGAGCAGGGCGAATGTCCCCGGGGAGCTCGGCGGCCCAGTCGGTGTCCCCCGAGACACCCCAAGAAAACAGGCAGGCCCAGGCTTACCGGCAGCTGTTGTCTCCGGCAGCGTGGAGGGAGGTCTCGGCTCTGCGCAGGCCCAGGCGGGAGAACGCGTGGTACATGGTGAGGGCGACATCGCTGAGGGTGTGCACCCCGTCGGGCTCGTCGTACACGTTCTCCCAGTAGGCCCGCAGGCCGGGCGTGCCGGACGGGTAGTTGCCGTACAAGTAATAGTCCAGCTGGCCGATTATCTCTTGGTTCACTACAGCTTCAAACTTGCGGGCAAAGAAAGTTGGCCTGGCGGTCTGCTGTTGGGATACGACAGGAAAAGACGCTGAGTGAGTTCCCATTTTAGGCCATGAAACTTTGTCTTAACCAGTGGGTTGGAGCTGAGGACGTGAACTGGTTCTCTCCATGGGCAAAGATGACTTACAGGGTTACCTTTGTGCCCATTCACCGTTAAGAGTGATGTTAAGGTTCAGGTAAAAACTACATAGTTACACGACAAAAACACAGTTGTGTCAATCCCTTCCTACCAACAGCCTCCCACTGCTGCCTTGCTCTGAAGGCTCTCCAAGTGCCAGAGCAGTGGGGAATGCTTCCTAAACCCCCGTGTTAGCTTGGAGACAGTGCAGCACTGGCACAGGTTAGGCAGGGAACAAACCATCGTGTGGCACGGGGGCTCAGAAGAGGCAGAGCAACATTTTCTGTGTATGGATTTGCTGATAGGAGGTGGTAAGAGGACTCTGGGAGAGGTGCCATCTATGGCTGAGGTTTCTCAACTTCTCAGTGGTCCTGCACAGATTTTCTGCTCTGCACTTGATGCAAACTTGAGCATATTACTGCTTTATATGCTACTCAACTCTGATAAGCTTTAAAAAAGTCTTTGTTTTGCCTTGCTCATGTTTGAGCACGGGTTCTGAGGTGCCAAGGAGTTCAAGGGTGCCCCTGATGGCTGGAAAATTCTTTTGAGGATGCTCAGTTTTGCTCTGAGACGGCACATACTGTGGGCTCTCTGACCCGTGCCTCTGCAGCTCTCTTTGTGCCTCTGTGAGAACTGTGAGCCAGCCTTCCGGCGCCCTGTGTTTGTGTGAGGGGCTCTCTCACCAGGCAAGTGTCAGAAACTGCCTTTACATCTATTCTAATTTTGTGCTTCTCCTTCCAGCTCAGTTTACTTGATTGTTCTCTGAAATATCGTTGTGGGTTCACAGCCTGCAGCAGGTCAGGCCCTGCAGTCTGGCAGAAGTTTTTCAAGACTTGCCATTTATTCTGTGCTGGAGACTTTCCTGGGATTGGGGGTAGGGGCAGCAGAGCCTCTCTTGGATAACATCTCATTTGCTCTTTTTGTGAGTGCCTGTGTCACTGACTTCAAGCGTGCCTGGTAGGCAACACATTACAGTAAAGATCTCTGTTTCAGAGCAGTCATCATTTCTGTGCTGCAGGGTAACACATTCCCCATCCCACACAAAGCCTGAACAAACATGCTTTATGCAGGGAAGCCCGAGGAGCTGCAGGGATGGAATTGCAAATCTGGTGACCTTGAAACAAACCACTGTTCATTCTTAATAAAAGATACACAGGCCAGATACACCCTTGAGACTGGGTGCACCCTTAAGCACAGGATTTGCTCCCATGTCTGGCTTGAGGAAACTATCACAAAGGAACCGATTAAACTTTTTAAGGCAGTACTGCCAAACCAGGGTGATCAAAACCTCATGACTAAGGCTCCCAAAACCACAAAATGAACTTTAATATAAACATGCTGATGAATACGATCATGAAAATGGATTTGTCTTGTGCTATGTAAGTCTCAAGCAGGCCCATTAGTCAACTTCTAAGTTTTTTTTAAAGATGATAAACTCTGCTTAACACTGAAAGCCAGGAGTTTAATGATATCATGAAAGCACCTGAGCTGGAACTTAGCAACAAATTCACAAGAGTTACCAAGTACTAGTGGTACCATGAGAGATTTGTCAAGCTTCCCACCTTTCTCACCCAGCAGATTACCAATGCCAAGTAGTCCAAGGAGTTGCTTTGTGACCTTACTGTGCAAGTAGTATGTCTCAAGGGCCAAAACACAGGAGAACCAATCTTTTGTTCTCCTGAAATTAAGATCAGAGCTTCCTCACATCTCTTTCTCCACCCGACTGATGGAGTAAAAGCTTCCCTTCCCATTCCCTGCTGCAGCCACGCAGCCAGCTGGCTCTCCACACCCCAGCAGAGGGGGAAGAGCCTCTTTGAGGTTACGTTCAGTTACCTGGAAACGGTGAAAATCTGCTGGTTTGAAGTCATTAGGTGAACAGCCACACCAGTCAACAATGTGCTTGTATTGACACTTGCAACCGAGTTTACGATTCCAGTTCGTGATGCGCAAGTTGTTGTCCACCATGGAGTCACAGTACGGGCTATTCTCCAGAACAGTGTGAAAGAAGGACTGCAAGAAAGACAGAGCAGATCACTGTCTTTAGCTCCTCTAACTTCCATCTTCTCCTTCACTTCAGCCCATGGCCCCAAACCCAATGCAGGTGACTTATCTTTGTTAAAAATGACAGAATTAACAAGCTCTGTTGTTCTGCCATATATGAAACGTGCTCTGTGTGTATGGATTCCACAGAGCATGAAAAAGTCACGACACACTACAGACCCAACCAAATTGTAATAACACACAGCTGAGGCCTTGCTCCAATAACCTGGCACAGAGAAACTGCACTTCTGCAATGACCAGCTTTGTGCACTGGGAGTCCAAAGGACTCCAGAAAAGTGTCAGCAATTATTTTATTTATATTTAAGCTGTATGAGCAATTCTAAGAAATTCCCGTTATTTCTTGTCTGTAAGTTACTGTCTGGTCTAACAGATTTAGGACTATTTTCCTGAGCAATGTGCTAATAATACGTCTCAAGTTGTTTCCTAAGACAATTCTCAAAACTACACCATCGCTCTGGGTACTGTGAGAAATATACAGTCCCAGACAGCTCTTCTGTGGGTGTCTCTACCACCAGCACTCTGAAAAGCATTGCTAGTTGAGTGGCCTTGTTCTAAAATACACAGTTCACCCTAGGCACCAAAAGGACATTCTCCCTCCTGCACTTACATCTGAAATCATAAGTCTTTATTTGCTGACTCATGGCAGCGTGGAATTCCTGTCGGGCTATCTTAATTATATCATCATAATATCAGCTATTATATAAATCATGTGTAATGGGGACTGATATGGCAGGTTAACAGGTCAGTGAAAGCAGGGCGGTTTTAAGAAACCAGCTATGCATCTTGCAAAGAAAACCTTGTAGAAAAAAGCTATGGAATATCATCAAATTTAGCCCTGGAAGAGACCATTTTTGGAGCAGTGACTTCTCTTTAAAATCAGCAATAGTAAGACCTATAAATAACCGGCACAACATTAGCATGGCTGGCCCCCGAATAATCCCCCTACCCTTTTTAATGTTAAATGACAGCCCAGTGAATATGGATTTTATGCTTGAACTGTTTGGTTAAACCCATAAAGGCACACATTCTCATTCAAGCGAGAGGGGGAAAAAAACCTACCCAATTACCCATTGCCCTGTATCCTTTTAAAGCAATACAAAAATTTCTCTAGATAATGGATGAAAAGGTTATCAGAGTTGAGAGAAAAGGTGATTTTTAACAGAAATGGGATTAAAAGAAGATTATTCAACATGTGTGTGGAATAATAAACCCCTATCAAAAGATGACAGTGCCTGTGCTCCACCACAAGCTAATGAGCCTAGATTTGCAAGATTAGTCTCATCATTCCCTGGGAATGTTCAGAAGCCAAGAAGTTTTTATTTTAAAGACAGTCAACCAGGTTTTCCTTGGGACGTCTGAGTGCTACACACTCTGGGAGCAGAGCCTGACAAGCCAGGGGAGTAACGTACCTGCTGAGGCAGGTGAAGCACAGCCTGACAACCCGCCAGGCTCCGTGCTCTACTTGCAGATAACGTACATTCCCTGACACACTGCTGCATGCCAGACAAAAACCCATCCTGGTGTGCGCTCCCCCTCTGCATCACTTGTAGCCAGAGCCATTCCTGAGTGATCTAAATGATTTGTGACTGTGCCTTCTAGCTGAGTTTTGAACGGAACAATAAACCTTTGTTTGTAGGGTTTATGTTTTTAAAGAAAAGGGCTGGATAACAGCAAGAAAAGCTACTTATGAAGACAATTCGCCATCTCTAATATCCTTCAAAAGCTTTGTGCAGGAACAATTTGCAAGCAAAGGACAGCTGGATTTTTGGTTGTTCGGTAACAGATTAATAGGCTTAGAAGGATAAAACAAAGCCATTCCTTCCAAAAAAGTCCCAGAAATAAACAAAGCAATAAACAACTGCAAAAGATTTTCTAACCCTAAAGGTGATGGGAGTAAAATTCTCATTACCCACTGTGGGATGTTCCAAAGCCCACCAAAATCAGGTGAAAGCCCCTCTGATTCCTGTGATCTTTGGGACCAGCACAAACACTGCAGGTTTGAACGCAGAGAGGAATCACTCAAGATTCACATACCTCAGCAGGAAGCAGCGTGTAAGAGTAAAACCTCTTCATCTTTGTTACCAGGTCATCATTAGAAAAAGTCACATACTCCACAAACTTCCTGTTTAGGAGAAACCAGTCTGACCCTCCATCAACTGTGATTCCTTCTGGGATCTTCCGGTCCCCCAGGCGCCACATGTGTGTATCGCATTCCAGGAAAAGCCGATCCAGTCCTTGTTTTCTGATAAATCTGAGGAAATACAATAGCAGTCATTAAAAGTTAATTTGTATTTTGTTATCACCATGAGCTCTATAAATAAAAAGCTACTTTCTCAAACAAAAAAGGATCAAAAGGTCACTTGTTTATATTTCTGTTCTACTACTAAATAATGCAGAGAGGTTTAATAAATAATTAATCAGTTATACATTCAGTTATAGAGGCAAAGATCAACAGATTGCTTTTAAACATCATTTTACACCTTCTGCTGTCCTAAGGCAGAACTGTGCATTTGTGAGAACTCTATGGCATGAAAGTCCATAATGCTCATTAACTCTCAACAAACCACTGCAGAAAAACCATAACATGAACAAGAACTAAACACAATCTGTCTCTAAATAAAGTCATAGTTTTCCAAAACAGTAAACTGTACATAAAGGTAAAATGACCAATATTCTCCTATGTTATTATTCCATTAATTTTTCTATTGGTGCATAGCCAATTAGGAAAAAATACCCTTGTATTGGTCTTTGCTGCAGGAAAGAGCATGCTTGCTCCATATTCAAGTCTATGGGAACAATGTTTAGTTATTGCTGAACCATGAATAAGAGGAGCAACTGCAGAACTGTAAAGTTATGGAAATGAATTATTTCAGACCAATAAAATAATAATAATAAAAAAAGCTGGGAAATCAATCTGTGTTTGAAAACGCTTTGGACTGGATGCCCACACATGTTTTGAGAATGTCTGATCCAGGTTCCTGTTTGTTACTCCATTCCCAGAATGACTTCCCAGAAGGAGAAGCAGGGCAGCCATGAATTAGCACATGCCCTTGCAGGGGGTGCTGAGCGCCGTTAATCACGGTGAGTTGCTGTGTTGAACATATCCCACATGTTCTGAGCAGCAGCAAATGCTCGCTAACCAGACACTGCAGAACTCACAGCGACACACCGAGTTCTCTCTGGATGTAGGATCTGCAGGGCAACAAGAGCTGCAGCACCTACAGTGAGGAGGGCACCGTGTTCCCTTCCTGAACCACACAGAACTGTGCCAGGGTGTTTTGGGATTAGAAAGTCAAGATGAGATTTTAGTGGTCCTCAAACACATGCAACCGAAGGAAGGGGAAAAGAAATGGAAGTTAAGGAAAAGCTTTCTGGCCTCCTGCATCTGGAAACATGAGCATTAACCCTGTAGGCCAACTTCCTGGTTCAAGTTCTGTTCTACACCAATCAAAGAACTGAGATGCAATTATGAAATGGTGCATATTAATTTTCAAAAGGACCGTAAATGACTTCAGGGTCTATGTCCTACTGATAGCTATGTCTCTTTTCACAGAGCTCCTCTGTTAACACAACAGTGCAGAAAATGTGTAAATGAGAGTCAAGAAATTTTTCTTTCCACGAACAAGTTTCTAATTTCATGTTCCATTATGAAGGATAATAGAAAAGTCTTGCAATTTTAATGCAGTCCTCTGGAATGTAATCTTCAAATTCAATATTTATGCAGTTATCTCCAAATCAAATATTAATGTGCCTGAAAGTTTGGTCATTTATTTATTTCCCTCAAAACTAAATGCTCATTTGAGTTAATTATTTTAAGAAAATAATAGAATTTTATCGACCATATTTAAATAGGAACATAGAATTCTTTTCCATGAAGTAATTTCTTTCAACTGCTATCTCTACCAATTTATCATCCTTTACTCTCATTTTCAAATAGAAGGTTTTTTGGCTGCAATAGAAACCCTCAAACCAAAGAAATCACCTTTCAAATTTCAAAAACTGCTCTAGTTACAAACTCCCTCAGCCTGTGTCACATGATGGGGCTTACAGCTAACTGGTACCAGAAAGCAGTTACACAGCTTCAGCCTTATTGTCTGAACTTGGCAATAGAAGAGCATGACCACACTCCAGATGAGAAGGTCCCAGCAAATCCTGACTCACAGCTTCATGTTTTCCAAAATAGTTGACAGGCTCCTTTTTCTATACTTACATGGTTCTATGACTTTTTTGAGCTAATGGCTTGGACAAGCAAATCTCAGCATATGGAATGAAAATAAGTCAATTCCAGGGAGTACAACTGTTTTCACACCAAATCTCAGCCCCAAATCCTATAACAACAGGCTTATTAGAAGAAAACTAATCACTCATTCTGCAGCAAGGCAGCAATGCCTTTGGAGAGCTCTAAAGAGAAGACCCTTTTGCTACTGCTTCTTGAAACCCCTCTGGAGACACCATATCAGGTTTTAGATACCAGTGACAACCGAACAGAAAGCAGGCATTTTTCAGAAGGTTCACCCTTAGTGGGCGTCTTCACACCCAGGCATTACACCTAAATGGAATAACACATTAGCATAGCAAATAATTCCTGTGATCTACGAAGCAATGGTTTATACAAGGGGCTGTGAAGACACAGCTCTCCACTGGGCAATTGCTTGCTGTCCATTTATGTTCCTTGGGAGCCAAGGGGACCAAGCCTATTTCAGATCTGCTGGAAGCTAAATGATCCTGCCTGAGGAGGCAGCAGCCGCCCCAGCAAGCCTAAGCAGTGCTGCTGGCACAGAGAGCTGAACTGCAACCAAAGTGGAAAAGGTGGATAAGGCTTCCTTTTTTTTTTTTTTTTTTTCCCTCCAGGCTCTCTTCTGGGATGACTGATGCTCCTAGCTACTCCAGCAATAGCAATTTTGGCACTCAGGCAGGCAAGAACTTACTCTAAGCATACTGGATATTGCTGGAGGGAAAGGGAAAGGGGCCATTTGTATGCCACACAGGCCTTTTCAAGAAATGAAAAATTCTCAAATGCTACAAATAGTTCATAAAGATTCTTAACTAGCCATTCAAGAATGCTTGCAGCCACCTCTGAAAAGAAAGATAGGAAGATAGGAAGATGAAGGGCAAAAGCATGACCCTACTGATTTGTTTCTAGTCTAACGGTGTATTTCATTAGTTTCTGGTTATGCTCAGTGGAATACCAAACCAGTATGTTTATGAAAGCATTTCAAGCTTTGGAGAGAGAAATGAAATGAAAAAAGGTGTGTTTTTTTCCCCCTTGTCTTCCTCTCCTGGGTTTTACAGGACAAATTAAAAGTAGAAAAAAAATGGCTTGGTAATAGCATTTCAATAATCTTAGTCAATGTGAAAAAAATCCAAGTGCTTCCTGTCACCCTGAACTTCAGGTGAGACCAGCAGACCTCTGCCAACCACAAATGTACTGGTCAGGACAATGACATCCAATTGCACCAAGGTATGGTTGGCCAAATACAACAGAGATTATCATCAGATGAAGAGACCTGACCTATCTCCTAATCTAAAACAAAATACAGGAGGAAAATAATGATGATAAGAGAGTCAGCCAAGAGAAAATAAGATTAAAACAAAACTAGGGTTAGGAAAAAGCAGGCCATAGGATGTTGTGAATGCATGTTGCCACCTGAGCTCAGCAATCAGGCACTGACACGTGTGAAAGGTGTCATTTGTACCCTGACTATGTGTGGATGCAGCCTTGGGGTTTACACTGTTCTGGATGGTTATTTTTATACTTTGTTAAAAAAACCTACTGCCTGCAGCACGTGGTCTGTCACAATGAGTAGAGATGTCAGTCCAGACAGCTCATGATCGCAATCCAGCTCAGGGAACTCCTCTTTGTAGTTTATTTAATTATTTATAATTGCATTTCAGATGAGATTCTAGGATTGTATAACACAAAAAGCATTAGTAAGTTGTTTAGCACACACTCTTACAACATGAATATAAACACATAGCTCAGCTCTTATGTTTTTAACTACTAATACTATTGCACAATAACTTAATATCAGCAAAAAATATCCCAATCAATTATCATCCTTTTGGATAGTCTTCTCCAAGTGACAGTGCACGCCACAGCAACTTGGGAGAGATCCCTGCTCCTGAATGCTCGTACGTAGGCAGTATGTATGTCAGAGGGTTTGCTGTTTTCTCTTTTCTGAAGTCGATGAATGCATAAAACTTTCTAAAACATCAGAGACCATCAGACTGCTAAATGTTACTTATCAGTAACTTTATCACTAAAAGGTTTTCACCTGGAAAGAATGGATTTTGTAAGGTGAAGAGGTTTCTTCCTAAATCTTTCCTGTTTCTGGCCTCTTGCCTAGAAAACCTCCTATCAACATTTCACTGTTAACCAGGTGCACCCAGGACCTCATCATCACTACCCATGATTTAAGAATAAGAGCTATAAATAAAAGAGAAACAATTCATCAGAAATCAAAAGTCAGTGTCAAAGCAAGAATCTGTAGAGCTTGGAGCTCCACTAGCAGCATGTTCATGTTTCCCTTAAGGTATGTGGACAAACTCTGCACATCAGCTCCTCTTTTAACTCTCTTTAGACAAAAATCTGAAGACAACAGTCCATTTTGGTGGGAAAAGTCAAGTAAATATTTTTACAGATGAGAAATATGAGAGTCACTTGCCAGCAGTGCTTGCACAGCCACCCTGGAAACACTTAACCGGAGTCAATCAGTTGGGAAGCATAAAAAGGGTAACTTGCAATTTAGGTGACCAACTAGAAAACACAGAACAATAATTTGACAATCCTGAGCGTAGCAGTTGCAACAAGTAATTTGTGAGCAATCTCTAGGCTACCATATATCTCCATAAACCAGTCACTGAAAAATTCTTTGTAATAAGCAAGTTCATAAAACCCAAACCTGTGCAGAGCAGTATCGTTCCCTGCGCTCAGGCCAGAAATCCTGGCCCCTACTGAGTATACAAATGATTTCCAGTTGACTGCAACACAGGCTCTCTCTATTTCACCCCATTTCCATGAGTAACTCTATTTGAAGGGTTAAACAATATTTACAACATCTGAAATAATTAACAATTGGCTATTTAAACATGTCTATATAGTATCAGCTAATCATCTGTTTTTCTAATGATATGATCTTGCAGTATGTTTCCCAAGACCTCTTCCTGTCATGCTGAAAGCCTCCAGGGCTCACCCTCCACTCCCAAAATGGAGCTGAAGCTTGAAAAGGGGAACAGTGTCAAAAAGAAGTA